TTTTTTTCCCCAGTTACTAAAATACAAATACAATATATATATATATCGAATGATTAAGTAGAAAAACAAAAGTTTCATCAAACGAAATATCTAGAGTATAATACATAGAAAAAAATCATCTGGAAACTAATTTATCAATCTTACTAATTAATTTCTGTATTCATCAATCATTACTCACTATTCTATTTATTTACAAAATAAACAACAAATCATTGATTAAAATCCAAAATTTTGTTTTTCTCTATTTAATAAAGTAAATCATCTTTCATATATCTATTATCTATCCATTTTAATATATGTAGCATTGATGTTACATCAATATATTTACTAAATTAATATGAACGAAGAAATAAGGAAATGTATGATTAGTTGCAGGCTGTAATTTAGAAAGCGAGAAAAAATTTTTAGTTTCTATAAACAAGAATTATTTTTACGACAAAGAAACCGGATATTACAATCGTATGGGCAAGGGATCGTAATGTTGACAGAATACTCTTATATATATATTACTATTTTGTTTTTTCACATGAAAAATTATTCAAGTTCATTTACTCAACAATAACATTTATGACAAGCTGTCATTGGTCTACCTGATCGGAAACAAGTTTGAAGTAACACAAGATATGAAATGAAATTTTTTTTTTGAAATTAACATAATTGATAACCATGAAACTGAGTAAAAATGAAAAAAAAGTGTACTCTTTTATCTATATAAAATCTATTTTTATTTAAATAGCTTAATTAATTTTTTAAGTATCTATCGTAAAATAAAATAGTCTTTTTTTTGTCTGAAGATCTTTGATTGGCATAGATTGTTCAAACTTCAAATAAATGAATAAGACAAAAACGCCATTCTATCTTAAAACGTAGTATAATTTGACATATGATAATTAAATTCTTTTCCTTCTCAACATAATCAAATTCAAAATTTGTATACTATAGTAAATTAGAAAAAGAATAGTTTTTGTTTTCTATTATTCTATTATCGAATTTTGTAAAGAAAAAAGATATATGTTTGATTAGGATTTATTAGACATATTCAAAACAAATGATGATTGTAGTTTTTTATAAGATCTGATAGATATGGAAAAGAATCATGTCGAGAATACAATGAATATCTAATAAACTAGAACTAAAACTTATTACTTCTATGAATGACTAATCAAGCAAATAAAATAAAAAGATTTTCTTTTGATTGTATTATTTGAATATTATTTTAAATTTCATAATTCAATAGTTTCATTATCTTTAGTAGGAGTGCGTCTAGGCATAGAGATGATCTTTATCTTACGCATGTACATCTATTACATCGTAGAGAGGTTTCCATACTAGAAGACTTCGTGAAATTTGTGCTTATTCTGACAAAAATAATTAAAAGTTCGAGGGGTCATAGCGGAAGATTGGCGAAGTCAAATGCAGCGCGTGATGTACTTCTAATTTCCTGAAATACATTGGAAAAAAAAGTATTAAATATTCAAGTTTTCTAACTTAATTTACAACAGATAAATACGGATTGTTTAAATTTATGTCAAATAAACATTGGAAATTTTATTTTTAATCAATTATGAATAAATAGTTTGTTGAAAATATAATATGATAAGATAAGACATATTTAGTTACTACTTAGAATGAAAATTATTTATAAATTTCTTATATAATCAATGTATCGAATTGTTGACAGCACTCAATCTATGTGACATATATCAGATTTCTTATTATCAGTAGAATGATCTTTACTTTTTTTTCTATATAAAATTGGCACAATTTCTTCATTCTCAATCTGATAGGGAAATCAGTTTTTTCGATATAAAGGATCTTTGACTTCTCACCCTCTCTCTTTTTTTATCTCCAGTGTCATCATGACATTCAAAGATAATACTATATTTTAGAAGTAATCATTTCATTTCATCGATTGAATTAGTCAAAAAAAGAAAATGGAAATTATTTTCTAATTTCATTAAAGAAATTTTATGAATATAAATAATAAATAAATAAATAATGATTTGTACTAACCAAATTGTTATCTCATTTTTACAAGAAAGATATAGGCGATAAATAGATACATACATAAAATCTAACAAACATTGACGAAACATGATATTAATATTGGAAAGACACGTCTCATTATTTTTTTTCTATCGTTTCTTCCACTACATGTTAACTAAACTAATATTGCATACGATCTTTTGTTTAGATAAATTATGAATTTTTCTTTAATTCTAAATTTAGTATACTTTCATAAGTGAAATGTAGCATAAATTTAGAAGAAATAACCTTTGAGAATATTTTCATTATCTCTTTTGTTGACAGGCTATTAGATGTCAATATAAAATACAATAACAATCATAGAACATAAAACATATAAATCTATATTTGTTTCTTATTATATAGGCGAGAATCGTATTCTAAGTGCATATATAAATAGTACAAAAGAATTCTTTTTCTATTACTTACTTGGTAATAATGTTAATGATTAAATCAGCTGTAAATCGTTCTTGTCAATAAATGTCTGGATTGATACATTAGTGGTAAAACAACAATTAAAAAGATCAAGAATAGAATTTATACCTAATTGAAATATTATGATTTATCATTAAATTAAACACTATTCAATTAAGAGGTAAAATAATACAAGTTAGTAAATTGATATATTATAATGTGTTTGTTCTTGAAAAGAATAGAACAATTAATGAATAAGACTTAACGTAGATTTCTCCTCAATACTCGTCCATGTGTCATTCTATACACGATTGAGTTAGAGTATTAGCGTCAAAAAAGAATAACTGTTTCTTTCGCTTTAAAGATGAGCAATAATCGATAGAGCGTAAATATAATTTAATATTATTCGATCATTGTCAACATGTTCGTTTCAGTTTTTAGTATATAGAAACATAGTTCGATAGGAATAAAGCATATGTCGTCTTTCATTCGATATATTAGAATCTTTTCGCTCGTATATAAGAACAATAAAATCTCACTACACTCAATTAAACTTATTGTATTAATGATAGTCGACAAGTATCTAGACAACATGCGTAGATCTATTTGGAAAGCGTAACATCCATGATAAGTCAATTTGAAAAAAAGAAGAAGAAGAAGAAGAATTCTATGCAACTTTTATAGAGACGTTTTTTTTTCTAAATATCTAATGTCTATATTTTTTTTACCTTGATAACAAGGAAATGTTTTATAAACATTTTTTTTTTCTATCATATGCTTCGTTAATTTTTTTCTAATAAATTATGTTCGTCAAATAAGAGTAATAACCTTCTACATTTATATATATATACATCATGAAAAATTCATATAAATAAAAGTACAATAATCTTTATGGTTTCTTTAAACCCAAAAAAAAACAGTCGGCTACAATTGAAAAAAGAAAGAATGGATATTTTCTCTTCTTTTTTTCATTTCATAAATTTACATATAATTCTAATTCGATTGTATTATTAAAATAGAAGTACTTTTAGTTTTTGTCCATTGTCTTACTTTATTCCGATTATTAGTAATAAAACAAATGATGAATAATGATGAACAAGATTTATCGGATGATAGTTCCGTTGAAATAACTGAGAATCCACCAACAAATGATCAAGAACCAATTTCTAATAAGAATATTCATTCAACACAAGCCAAAAATCGACATAGTTTACCAAATTTAAATATTAAACATCCTTATTATTCAATTAATGATGCTAAAGATCCATTTATTGATGAAACAAAAGTTATTATTGATGAACACGTTAAAATATCTCATGTACCTCGTACTAGTGCACACAATTTGAATACAGACTTGCCTGTTCCAAAATCAGATGCAGATTCAAGACGTAAAAGTACCGATAATACAAATGTTTCTCGTCCTAATAAAACGGTACATCATACTTCAAAAGAAGATAATATAAATCAAGATATTGATAAAAAAATAACTGCTACAAAATCTATGGTAAAACGAGTATCACTTACAAATGAATTACCAAGGAAAATGTCATCGGAAGACGTACATGTTCATGTTAAACATATAACGGTAAATAAAAAAAAATGATCGTAAATATTAATCAAAAAAATATTTTTCCATGAATTTTATTATTTATTCAGTTTATAATTATTGTTTTTATATTGTTAAACAAGAAATAAATAAAAGATTTTACTATTTATTATATTTAACAAATGTTCATTGAGAATTTCCGTGTCTTATAATAGAAAACAATTTGATCTTTTTTTTAAAAGTTAAATTAATAATGACCTTTATATATCTTAGTTCGTGACTATGAAAAGTTCACGCATAAAAGGTAGAATGACATTAATAGTCAATATTTCTCTAATGAATTAACAAATCAATAATTTATTATATGGAAAAGATTATGCAGATTAAAATTAATGAATAATAAAATGAAACTTATGTGTGTTGTTCTGTTTTTCACCGAATATCTTTAAACAGTTATATAATTTTTTTTTGAATAAGATATTTAACTGTCTCGTCAAAAAAAGACTTCAAAGATCATTGTCGAACACGAGTGATACCGATGAAATGATGATACCAGTGACAAAGTTTTCATATGTAAAGATGCCGCTTTTAAAAAATTGAAAAGATAATATTATTTATTTACAGTCTGTCCGTTCTCTCTCCAATCATTATCGAAAGAACACTCGGATGATGACTTCGTTTTAGTCATCATTATCGTTAAACATATATATTTATTTACTATACAACATGTTTTTACATGCTCTCTGCTTGGGTGAAGTACAATCAGTGTTAACTTTTATTTCTTCAATTATTATTTTAATTCTTTCGGCTAATTCTATTCTTATACCAACTTTTATTTGGACATGGATATCATCTAGTTTAATTACTTTTGTATTTTATTTTATTCTTGTCATCTTGCTTACACGATGGCTTGCTCGTGGTGGACAATATCCAGAAATTCATACAACTAATTTAGATGGACAAACATTTTTAATTACGGGTGCTGCTGGTGGAATTGGAAAAGAAACCGCATTTGAATTAGCAAAACGAGGTGCTCGAGTTATATTATTTGCACGATCTACAAAGATAAATGAAATTGTAAATGAAGCAAAAAAAGTTGCTCGATCATCGGATAATGTTACTGGTTATTCACTTGATTTAGCTGATTTACGATCAATAAAAAGTTGTGTTGAAAAATTTATGAAAAATGAAAATGAGTAAATATTTCTTTAATTATTTCTTTTAATTGATATCTATATATTCATTATCTAGAAATATAAAAATTACAGCATTAATTAATAATGCGGGAGTAATGGCGTGTCCTTACGGAAAAACTAAAGATGGATTTGAATTACAAATGGGTACAAATCATTTTGGTCATTTTTATTTTACACAACTTCTTTTATCTCGTCTTCGATCAGCACGTATTGTTAATGTTTCTTCTGCTGCTCATGGTATGTGGCGTGTACCTTGTGATGAATTTCATTATAATCAAATGTATAATTCAAATACATATCATCGATGGTCTGCTTATTCATTAAGTAAAACAGCAAATATTTTGTTTACACGTGAACTTCAACGACGTTATTCTACATCATATAATATTCATGCTTATTCATTACATCCTGGCACGGTCAATACCGAATTAGATCGACATTTAGGTACTTCTGATATTATGCGTAAAATAGCGACACCAATAAGATATATATTATTTAAAACACCATTAGAAGGAGCACAAACAACTCTCTATTGTGCATTATCAAATAAAGCTAAACCAGGTGAATATCATGTTGAGTGTCAACCAACATCGGTTCTTCAAAAATATGCAGAAGATGATAGACTAGCTCAACAATGGTGGGATTATTCAGAAAAAATGATCAATGAAAAACTTAAAGAAATTGAAAAATAATAAAATACTTATTTTACTAATGACTATATGGAGATGAATTTTTGAGAGAGTTTTTTCTTTTTTTAAGATTCTGTTTTTCAAAGTTTTATTAATTGATTAAAATAAGATTAGTCTATCACATCTCTCAATATAATGTATTCACTTGTATCTCATGGAAAGTCAAACAATAATTGATCTTACATATAACCTTTATCAATACTAACAATTCTTTTTAGCTTTATATTTTCGTTAATAGTGAGTTTATTCTATTTTATAAAAGTTAGTTCGAAAAGTTTCATGAAAAAATATGTCATATGCATCTAAACATCCAGTTAATGATTGCAAATTATGAAGCATTAAACTGTTATAGAATGGTGAATATATCAATTACAAGAATTTATATACTTGAACTCAATAAAATTTCCTTTTTTTGTGCTAAATAGTTCAAGATGTACTTATACTACTGATAAACTTATGATATAGATTATGTACTCCAAATAAATGTTACCTATTAACAACATAGTTACGGCTAAACACAAATGTTATTCGCATTGATATTATCTGTATCATATCCTACACCGTTATTAAACGAGTTTATTGTAATAATGATTTTTTTTTGTATAGTCTTTCACAATTATTTAAGCTTCTGGTATTATAATTATTATAAAGCTGTAAAATAGAGCTATTAATGTTTATAATAGAAAAAGCTGAATATCTAAAAATCTTTACAAACATGCAATAATGAATATAATATGTCTTCGGATCAAAAACTAAGCTCTATTAGAAATAAGAGTATTATTGATATAGAATAAAATACATTTTGATAAAGTAGATAATAATGACGATTTTTACTCATTTTTAACTCATATTAAAATTGGCAATTGCGTTATTTCAATGAATAAGATGTTATTATAATATACTATTACTATTATATGTTTCTAGAGAGAAAGAGGACGTTAGTAGTCATCCATCATCTGTTCCATCATGATTTAGTCGTTCGTTCGTTCATTATTCATCCACCCACATAAACGTTATTCACTAAATTATATATGCACAGAAATTTCATTCCTGTTTGTCCTTGGTTGTAATGGAATTATTCGAGTGTGTTGTACCAAAATTTCAAAATAATTCTTATCGATCAATGTCTTTATCAAATAGTTTAAAATTATCTTGTTTTCCATATTCCGTATGTTCAAATAGCTTTTTGATCTTCTTTTAATTTTCTTATTTATTCTAATTAGATTTCACGTGTAGCAAATCGTGTTGTTCATCATCTATTTCGTCGAAATAAACGTCGTTCTATGCGAGGTAAACTTAATTATAATTTTTATCTTTCATTATTTTATTTTATTTCTTTTCTTAAGTCAATAAAAAACATGATCTATTAACGAATAACATGGATTCATATCATTACTCGCCATCAGATAATGAACTGCAACAACTTCTCTATATTTAATTTTTTTTTATACAAAACAGTGTTTTCATTTTTTTTTCTTTTTAACTTTATATTGATTGTTTATTTCTAGTCAGATTTCTTTTTTTTGCCGCAAATTATATTGTTGATACTATTTTTGGATTAATCAATAACTTTCTTCATTTTATTAATATCGATTTTTTTATTCTATATCTTGACATCAAGTAATTTAACGTAATAGTTCTACAAGGTCATTATCAATATGCCCAAAGTCATTTTTCACACATTAATCATTCGTATTTAGATTGTGATTCATTACATCCATAGAATTCCTATACATTAACAATAAAGTTTAGTAATAGAGTAAAATATTGTAAATGATTCTATAATTCTCAAATACCAACGTATTATATTTAATTTAATTTTAATCTATGATCATCATGATTCAACTATATTAGTTAATATTAGAATATCAGTCTCACTAGCAGTTTGGTAGATAATATAGATTCTGTTACACTAATGTTATCCTTAACTACTGATATCAACAAAGAATATAATTATATTTTTAGAATTTAATTATTCTTTTAAGCATATTTATAATTTTGTGTGGTTTGACATTAAAAAAATATGGGAAACTATTGCATAACTTTTATGTCAATTGTAACAAATCTGTTTTGAAATGAAAATTATACGGTACGAGGAATATAACAATATATAGATATATGTGCAACCAGTTTCATCAGTAATAAACTCAAATATATTAACATTGCATGAGGATACTATTCATACAAAGAATACATCATTCAATAACTGCATAATATGAATATCTCTCTTAACCTGTACATGCGAATTCAGTAATACACATGTTGGAATATGTCAGCAAAATATGGCCGATTTATGATTGTTCCATGATACAAAAGTATCATCATAGTCACACCCACTGTAAAGTTCCACTGAATGCTACTAATCGACTATCAATCATATTCTCAAAGATATTTTGATATTTTGTCATTATACAAGCTGAATCTGTTCGAATTGAGAATATTGTTATGTCCAAAATTGAATCAATCACTACAATAAATATTGACCTAACGACTTTACTAAGTCAATCAAACATCTTACAATCATTGAAGGAAACAGTAAGCGCTCAAGTAGAAGCAGTTAACGAGTAGTTTCTTCCAAATGGTAGCACGCAAACAGTTGAATGAATATAACAATGTGTGTACTTCTTACAGCGTTGTATTGAATATACTTTGCTATAATCTTATATTTATAAGTAGTATAGTTATCATTTTTTTCTGATACATTAAAATATAGTGAAATAAGAAGAACCTTAGCACGATAGTCATTCTGTATTCGAAATAATATCAATTTTATAATTTCTAAAATATCAAATTCATTTTTTTTAATCTTTTACTGTAATGATGATGTATATTCTTATAAAAACTATTCTGTTAAGTTATATGATAAAATATATGCAATTAGATATGTTTATATCTTTATTTGAAAAACACTCACTATTAACTGTAACTTCTACAGACAATACACAAAAAAGAACAATTTATTTAAAACATCAAATCTGAATAAATGAAAGATAAGCAAGAATAATGCATGCAGAATTCGCAAAAAGGTCTTTGAATTTATTTATTTATTTATTTGATACTTTTTTGTTGATCAGCACTTTGATCTTTATATTCAATTGTTCCTGGATGTCCTTTATCAGTAAATGTAGTCGCATGTGAATCGGCGACTACAGGCTTGCCATGCTACAATAAATAATATTGAAAAAAAAACTAATTCATTAGAAACAAAACGTTTCTTACATCAAAACTTCCTTCAGCTGATGCTTCTTTACCAATAGTAACCGATGGGTTATCACCCACTTTAGTTGTTTGAGATGCATATGAATGCGATTCCCAATGTCCTTCGCTTTGTGCTTTATCAGACATATTATTGGTTGTAAGAGTGAAGAAGTTGCGAGCGTTCGAGTAATGTGTAAGAATGAAAAGAGGTCAAGAAACGGCACTATATATACTGTGCCTTACTATTTCTTTCTTCTCTTTTTTTTCTCGTTCTTGCCCTTTTTTCTCTTTCTAAACTAATAATAGAATGGTTTGAAAAGTGCATGCTTGCCCGCTGTACTCAGTAACTACAGCATGCACTAAAAAGAACGCAAAAAAAGAATAATAGAATGCTTTTTCTTCTGCGCAATAGCCAATGACGTCGTTTATTTTCTTTGAACATGGAAGTAACTATGGAATCATCGATTAAAAGATATTAAAATATAAAAAAGAAAGTTATAAATAAACTCATTTACAATATCCGAAATTGAATTTATAGGATATTTTGTATTACTCGTGGAGTAATCGTAATACTATTGGATTTTCATTTAAAAGCATCCGTTGTACAACTATGTTGATGTATGATTTATTGTAGATTAAACAGCAATTTCGAATATGTATACTTTTGTATTGTTCTCAAATAAAGACCTGATTACATTTATTGTTTGTTTATATGAAAAAAAAAATCATTTAGCGTTATTTCGCGTTTATATATTTGAATTAATATAAATATTAGTTTCGTCATACATATAATGTATTTACTTATAGTGTTGAAAATACAATTAATAAAAAGTTCACGATAATCACAAGGATGTATGCTCATATTAGAAAGAGAAATTCAATAGTAAAGATTTTATTATATTGAGAATGTAGTTAAGGAAATACCTTTCAGATTAATAAGCCATTGATTGTATGAATATTAGATTATCAATCTTGTTTTTGTTATAATAAACTTCATCAATCATTTTTGATAATGTAAATCTGTATTTAACCATATCTAACTATTAAACGAGGATGGGTGTGGATGTCTATGATCTGCTGTCTATCATACACACCCATCTTTATTGACTAATAACAAACAAGATTGAACTGCTGTGTTTATTACGAGATCTTTTAGAACGAAAGACTTGAGCTGATAGTGAAAAATATGGGTTTGAGAACGAACTGACTATCTGCGGAATAGTGATATGTAATAGAAATATAGTATCAAAATGAGTATGAGAAAAAAACAAAAACAATGAATCTTATCCTCATCCACGCCTACACCACAGTCACACATCTTAAACCTTTTATGTTATCGTCATTATCAAAGACAAGCGGTTACTATTTTACCAATGAATAAAATATTGATTAAAGTTATGTACAAGACTTCTATTTGGCTAGCTAGAAAAAAAAATAACATTTGCTTTTCTTCTTCTTTGTTGATGAAAAGACTTTTCATATTTCTTTCTGCATTAACACGTGGAGTGGTGATGAAGATAAGGATGAATGAGACAGTACAGATGTGAGATGAACACATTATTTATATCTACACTGACACCCAAAAGATGCTGGTAAACAATATTACTTTGATTATTATCTATTCAAATAAAACAATGACCGGATAGAATATATTTATTTCTATTGAAAGAAGCTTATTTAAGCATTGATCATTCTAAATGAATACACATTTACAAAATATACTTTATTCTAACAGTTTTTTCTTCTTTCGGCAAACTTTCTATTTCCTTCTAAAAAAAACCTATGACTTTAGATAATTTTATTTTTTAATCATAACATTCAATGTTAGCTAAAATAATTTACTTCCGCTTTTTATCTAAAACATTTTACCATATTCTGTATTGATAAAAAAATGCAAAACTCACATCTGTTATTTATTTTCTTCGAAATAAATGTTGAAAGTGAAGCAAAACTGACTGTTTTTATTCATCTATAATTTTAATGCTGTATTTGTTGCATCTTTTTTGTTATTATTTTGAAAAGTATGTATCCATTTTATTCAGAATTTAACTCGCGAAATAATCTTCTTTCTATTCATCTTGATATAAAATACAATAAATTCAATTTAGATTAACAATAATTATTTGAAATAATGTTTTGTTTATAGATTTTTGCTTGCAAAAGTATTAAACTTGAATAAAATATCAGCATCGAATAATTATACTACAAATATTTCTAATGTAATTTATCAAAATAATAACAAGAAAATAAATTTTTTTTTCTTTAATGATTTTAGGATCAATTAACTGACGCTGACACTTTGCAAAAAATAACAACTACTCCGTCAGAAACGTTTTATGTCTATTCTAAATTATCGTAATGCGCTGAAAATATTGTTTTACTTTAGGTATGTAGATATTCTAAGATCAAAACGAAAGCGATTGATACTTTGTATTATCAAAGCATAAAAACAACATGAATGAAACATTATCAACACTAATATGGACAACTGAATTATCAATAAAAGAAACAACAGCCATAGTTACAGAAATGGAAATAATACAAAGTATAGTTTTCTCGAAAGAGATTATGGGTATCGGTACACTTGGTGAGATCATTCTAATAAATACACCCCTACCCTCAATTTTTTGCACTGCTTATCGAATAACTAAAGAATGTAATCACTTAGAGTTTCACTGTTTCTAGTTATCAAACGAAGACAGAGAAAGGTTTTCTTTTCTTCAGTATTGTATAGGATGCAATCAGTCATTTATGCAAAAAATACCAAAAACAGTATGGAAACGATGCGTTATTCCAATGTAAGTTTGCTTTTGATATATAATTCAAATAAATAGGGTTTACATTCACGGTGTCGGCATTGTATTTATTACTGACTTCTACATCAACTCAGTTTGTTTAGCATGGTAAAAATAAATAAATAATCATGTTTTTGAAATTACAACTATTTCTAATGTGTTCATTGCAGTGATTATATAAAGACTGGTTGTAAATATTAAAGCAATCAAAAGTGATTCTTGTTTTGAAGGGTGAAGAATAATATTTATGCGTGCTCTTTATTCATTAATAAACAACTCTTTCAATCATTACGCGTTAATAAAATAATTCAAGAAAAAACCATAGTTATATTAGTTCTCAAGTTAAAAAAAATGATCGAATGGATACAATAATATTTGACGTAATAGGAAAATGTCTTTAAATTATACTTATAATAACAAATTTCAAACACAATCATGTCAGCTTTTTCTATGTGATATCTAATTCGACTTATAATATAAATGATAAATGGATTAAAATAATTTCTATAGGTATGAAGTGCGCCGATGAAATTGTTTTTCGTTTCATTTATATTGTAAGTCGAAGTAGGTAAGTACTCGTTATAAGATGTGTGGAATACTTTTTGACATTATGACATTTAGATCAAACGACAGATGAACTGTTCGTTTAACTTTTAAAACAAGACTGTACGTTATCATATACGATGTGGAGATTTTGTATCATTTATATTTAGGCTCCAGAAAAGTCAGTTTCTCGAAATATGTTTTTTTCATTCGTTGTTTTAGATTATGAGTCAACGTGTTCTCCCATTTTCTTCTGATTCTCAAGGAGGTGGTCCATTCATAATAGAACAACCACCCTCCAACAACTTACAGCCGCAAATACTAGATCAACTGCAACAAAGTAATATTTACACATTATTACATATCATGTTTTTTGAAAGAAGCAAATTCTGCATAATAGTAAAACATGTTTGTCAATAAGACTTAAGAATCCGACGATTTATATTGACACTTTACAAGTTCATGCGAGTTCAACTTATGAATTGAAACTAGTTTGTTCCTATTATATATCCTTGTAGAGAGAACGAATGTTATAAAAATAATGTACCTTCTGATATTTTGACGAATTTTTTCTTTGATACTGATTTGTTCGAACTTTATGTTCCTTTCATAAGCTTCATCTTTTGATTTTGAGAGTGTGAATGTGGATGCAAACAAAAAAAATCACATTCACACCCACACCTACACTCTCAAAAAAAAAACGATTTTGACATGACAGATTGAAACTGTATCGATTATTGCAGCTCCATTCTAAGCTTGGTAACATGCATCGAATAGTTTTTATATTTTTTTAGAACGATTATCTAATGAACAACCAAGAAATCTCTGTACAACTAACGATGGTAGTAACAGGCTGAGTACTTGTTCTGAAAATACCTGCAATGATAACCATGATTTGGAGCTTAATTCCTCCGATTCCGGTTGGTGTAACTGCAATGGACGCAACTGTTGTGGCTATTACTGCTGTAGTGATAATTGTATAACTCGGACTTGTCTTTTCATATTTTGCTGTCCTTGTGCTACGCTTTATGTATGTTGTACACGCCCTGTAATGTAGGAATCGCCGACAAGACTACACTTTGATTGAACTACATTTAACTAAAGAAAATGTTTTTTGCTCTAGTTAGTTTATAAGTTATTTTCAACGAATGGCATCTTTAGTCACCACTCTCGCTCATTCTTTAAGAAGGTCTCAGTTGATCATTTAAAACCCTCCGTCTCAAGCAATATAACATGAAAATGACTAATTCCACGTCATTTCGAAGACTTCATAAGAACAGTATTTCCGTCCTCAAAAAATCTAAAACATTTTCAGCCATTTTCAGTCTGCTTTGAGTTCACCATACACACACACACACTCAATCACTAATTATAATTAGTTTACTCAATATCTCGATCATGTATCGATATTTTCGTTTTCACACATTCATTATGATTATATTAGTGCATTGACTTGTGTATCAATGATAATATTCTTTAAATGGAAAGGAAAACAATAATGGCCTAATTTTTTGATAAACAGTTTATGATAACGATGATGAGGATATATATGTCATGTAATCAATAATAAAAAGTGAAAGCAATAATAAATTTCAGTTGAATCCTAACAAATGATAAAGTAAGATGAAAATGTGTTAATATGAATAATAATCTTGAAAACTATCAAGATAAATTACATATCATATATAATAAGTGATATTAAATTCATAGTTTAAATCAAATTATTTGTATTAACTGATGAAAGGTGTGGATGTGGGTACCGGATGAATACAATACCACACCCACACCCTCGCGCTTAAATAAGAGAAAACACAGTATGAGAAAGTAACGATCAAACGGTGACGTGTTAGAGAATAGACAGAAGAATAAAGCAGAGGTTACAACAGTAAGTATTTTTTGTATTTGTTCACGGCTTTTAATATTTTAAAATGGTGTCTTCAATCGATTCTGAAGATAGGCGGCAATGTTCGGTTGTTTCTCGACCTCTTGACGATTGCGTTGTAACCAGGAATATTGACTAAGAACACTGTCGTCGATCTGAAGAATAGTTTCGAGCATATCATAGACAAATAGATCGCACCACGTCAAGTCATTTCCAACAAAGAATGGACCATCGTTGCTGTATGTGTTCGCGAGAATTTCAAGGTTTTGCAGATGTTTTGGTAATACATCGGCAAGAAACTGTTGCATATCTGCTTGTTTCTTTGCTTCATCAGCTTGTCTACGAATCGGTCCCAATTTATCCATCGCATCAATCATTGTATCAACGACAGTATCGACTTTGGCCTGTTCAAGATTGTCTTTGCCCGCGAGATTAAATTGTTTGGCAAGAAAACGAGCAATCGACATTGATTGAGGTAATTTGACGCCATCGACTTCAAGGACAGGCATCTGACCCAACGGCATTTTGGACTTGTGTGATGGCCATTCACTACCTTCGTAGCGAATATCTTCAAACTGTTGTCCAGCAGTAGCAAAAATAAGTCGAGACACTTCGGCACGGCCACGACCGTTGAAATAGTGCAACTTGTATGTCGACGTCGATGCTTGTGTGTCTATCAGGTGAGAAGAAAAAAAGAAAGAATAGTTTGTAAGTAGTGATATATACATATATGTCACTGGTTGATGTCTTTGAATGAGATTTAGAATTTAACCTGAGAAAAAACTTTCGATTGAGATCTTTATCAGTGCATATGCGGTTTTGGTGGTAACAGTCAAATATCTAATATATTAGGAAACTACTAAGCTAAGAGCTATTAGCATCAGATTTCATACTACTACACAAGACATCTGACTATAGGTTATCGTTGCTAGATGGTTGAATCAGACAATACTACTTAGAATAACTAGCTATATCCCTTGAGATAGGCAATTCTTGTGAAACCTACCGCAGTCATCCGTTGGTTTCTTCGAACAGGTTTGAGGTTGAACAAAATTTGGAATGTCGATGAAGAGAAGAATAATAAAAATGGCGGCGGATGTTGAAAACCACATTTTTGTCTTGATGAGCAAATACAATAATTTTTTTCTACAAATAGAAAGATGGCATAAAACAAAATCTAGAGATAGAAAGTAGAATGATTGTTTTCTTGAAATGTATCTTCTTCTTTCTATCGGGGTAAAAATACAGATTGCTTGACCTTCTCTATCATTTGTCATTAAGTAGAAGCGCAGCTTCTTTTTTCCTCGACTCAAAGTTTCAGTCAGTATACGGATATCAAACACAAAACAGATCAACGATGACATTTTCTATCGTTCATGTTAATAAAGAAAATGTCTAATTATTATTGAGAGATCTCTTACTTTTTATTAATGATGTCAAAGTAGATAATATTGAATCGAAGGAGGTTAATTAATTGAATATTGTGACGGAATGACCACTCATTCGTACTTTATTCAATCGAATGAATGAATATGAATGACAATAAAGACGAATGAAGAAGAAAACAAACACAGAAGAAAGAACAATGACTGTCTATTAATTGCCAATGAGGCGAAACGGTCAAGAAAGGATAAAGAGTGAGGAATGAACAGTGTGTATGTACATGCACGGCGGACATCTACATATAATAATATAGAAGAGATAGTGATGGATGGAATCCATTAAAATACTAAATCAATTGCATCATATGAAGTATTTTCCTGAAGTTATTTCATGAAAAATGGCCTTAACATCCTTCGTCCTCTTCTGCATCTTACTAATATTTTGCGCTCGTTCGAAACTTAGGTCTATGAAATCATAATGCACATTAATATCAATTTACGGAGAGCGTTAAAACATTCAAGCTTTTTACTCTCATAAAATATGCAAAGATATCCCATTTTCTATCTTCATAAATAAGTTTCAGAGGAAAAAAAATAACATTACATATATATTCATATGAACAAATAGATTCTCAGCCTCTTCTCTCTACTTACTTGTCGCAAAAAAAGACGGAGTGAATGTACGTTACTTTTTTTTATCAAACGAGCAAGAGAAAAAAGCAGCATGGTCTTGATTTTTTCTTACAGTAAACTATACGAGAATAAATTTGTGCATCGTCAGTTTGTCAATGGTGATGTGCAGAACGCAAAACATTCTATTACCATTAACGTGGTAACGCAAGCACCTACAATAAAAACAATAGTCGACATAAAGAAACTTCGAGTTATTGCGTCACAGTTTTGCAATCGTGAGGTGTGAATATGTCTCAAAATGTGGAATAATACAATTTGGTGGGATTCAAAGACTCACATCCTTGATTTTCCGAATTTCGATGCAAATGTCTGCACTTTTTATATTCAGTCAAATTTTTTATTTTTGAGTGTCCGAATAAGAGTTGTTACGAGGAAGGAAATGATCAAAATCATTGAATTTCTCTTTCAACTCTTATCAAAGGCAGTAAAAATATTTACATTAATCCAATCAATGTTCAGTTAAGGTTGCAGGCGACTGAATTCACACCGATGAGTCGAAGTAAACAAATGATTTGTTTTTTTTTCTGTAATTTAATCAATCTGAGTTTAAGTTAGTTTGAAAAAAAGATCATTCTACACTCCACACCCATACCTTCAAGCTACGAATGATAAGAAAAATATTTTCACATAACTTTTTAATCTTAGGTTATGTAAATTCATCATTACGAGGTAGACGATCGATACATAGAATTTCAGATGGTATTGTCTCTAAAAAAAACGCATGGAAAAAATATTTTCGGCTGCTCATGGTGAGTGTGGATATTATTCAATTAATTCACATCCTTACCTCCACCCATAATATAAATAAACTATTAAATTATTGAAACAGCTAATATAAAAACAAAATCTTTTTCTAAAGTATAAATATTTGATTTTCTATGAACTCTAGAGGTGTTTTCGATAATCCATTATGTAAGGATGTTTTTTTTCTTTTAATCATCAATCGTTATATCTATGTAATGATAGTTACAAAATTCGATATCATTATGTTATTAATTAAAAGTATTCTTGTTTTTAAGTTAACCTTGAAAAGAATTTTAGAAAGAAATATCTACTTAAATTGTTTCCAACTAAAATATATATAAATATTTTATTTTTCTTTATGTTTTCTGATTCAATCATCTCGTTGTGTTCAATAAGAAATTTATAATCTATACACAAATATGATATATATATTCTATTGTTATTTTCTATTTAAAATAATTTTCATTCAATTAAATCAATAAATAATAAAATATTTCTATCAACAATATATAAACAACCATTTTGAAATAAGAAAGTATATGTATATAATACATATAGAAGGAGAAATATATCGAATCTCACACCAGAATGAAAGCATCTCATCTAAATGACTAATCGATTGATTCCTTTTAATTTTGGAATCTAACATTTGTGAAGATCTAAATCTTGTACGAAATATCTACTATTTTCAGATATCGAATCTCTTTGATCATACTAAACAAAAAAATTTGATAAATTTAGCTTTAAAATATTTTTATAAAAATACAGTGCAAAAAAAGTCACTTTCCATTAACTTCAGAAAAGAACGTTAGCAAGAATTATTGAAAAGATATGAGATAGTTAAAAAAAAGAAAAGAAATAAATGAAAAATGTCATATTAGCATGTTTTCATAAGAATATCGATATTACCATATCCATTACTAGTTGCAATAATATCAGGTAAGTTATTATTGTCTATATCACCAACAGCAAGTGCAAATGGATGTGAATTAAAGCCACTCGAGAAGATTTGTTGAGTCATGAAACTTCCATTACCATAACCAAAATATACGCCAATATTACTAGTTCCATAACTAGCAACAGCAATATCTAATTGAGTATCGTTATTAAAATCAAGAATAACAACTGAATATGGTTGAGAATCAACACCAGTAGAATAAGTTATTTGATTTGAAAATGTGTCACTACCATTACTAAGAAAAATACTAATGGTATTAATACCAGAATTTGCAACAACAAAATCTAATTGATTATCATTATTTAAATCAGCAACACTAACAGAACATGGTTGAGAAGCATTATCAGTTGAATATGTTATATCATTGACAAAAGTACCATAACCTGATCCGAATATAACTTTGACATTGTTTGTAGCATTATTGGTGATGACAACATCTAATCGAGTGTCATTGTTAAAATCTCCAACAGCTATCGAAGACACTTGAGAAGCAAATCCAGTGGAATAAGCTGGTGCTTTTAGAAAATCGTCGTTAACATATCCAAAAAACATACCTATATTATTCGTACCATAATTGGCGACGACAATATCGAGACGTCTGTCCTTGTTAAAATCACCAACACCGAGAGTATATGGCTGAGAATTATCACTAGTTGAATAGGTCAATGGATCAAAAAAAGTACCATTTGTACATCCAAGGAGGACACCTAAATAATTGTTACCATAATTGACAAAGGCGATATCCAATTGATTATCATTATTATAATCCTCAACGACTAATGCATTCGGAGTAGTGCCAATACCACCAGTTGAAAAAGTTTTTTGATCATGAAAACTATGATTAGCATTTCCAAAAAACACGCCGATATTGTCAGTGCCTGAGTTGGCAACGGCAATATCTAGTATAGCATCGTTATTCAAATCACTGACAACGATCCATGCTGGTTGTGAACCACTGCCAGTTGTATAACTAGTTAGATTGAAAAACGTACCATCACCATTCCCATAAAAAATACTTATACTGTTAAGAAGAAAATTAGACACGACGATATCTAATCGATTGTCGTTGTTAAAATCACCAGTGGCGATTGATGATGAACCAGCATTACTGTCAATTGAGTATATGACTATAGGAGAAAAAGTAGCATTGCCGTGTCCTAACAAAACAGCCATGCTACCAGTGAAAGTAAGAGCGACGACAATGTCTAATCGATCATCATTGTTAAAATCTGCAACGATGGCTGCGCATGGACCGGACAAATAACCCGTATAAAAAGTTGTTTGATTTGTGAATATACCATTCCCATATCCAAGAAAAATACCTAAATTGTCAGACCCCAGATTGGCGACAACCATATCCAAATAACTGTCATTGTTCAAATCAACAATAGCAACCGAATATGTCACCGAGTTGATCCCAGTCGAATATGTTGTTTGATTGGAAAAGGTATCATTGTCTAATCCCAGAAAAACACCCACATTATCTGAATTGCCTGACACGAAATCTAACCAACCATCATTGTTTAAATCAGCAACAGCTACTGCTCGTGGAGCTGAACCTGTGCCTGTTGAAAATGTTATTTGCTTTCGAAAACTTCCAGTATCATATCTAATAAGTGTTACTATACTATCAGTGCCAGAATCAATAACGGCAATATCGAGTTTATTATCATTGTTGAAATCACCAATGGTTACTGCTTGTGGAATAGAACTCACTCCAGTTGAATACATATTTAAATTTGTAAAACTACCATTTCCATATCCATAAAGAATGCCTACATTTTCAGTTCCAGAATTAGCTACAATAATATCTAGTTCATTATCATTATTTAGATCAACAACAGCAACTGAAGTTGGAAAAGATAAGTCACCAGTAGAAAATACTGTTTGTAATGGAAATGTTCCATTTGTATGCCCTAAAAGTACTCCTACATTATCTAAACCATAATTTGCTATGGTAATATCTAATTGACCATCATGATTGAAATCACCAAGAGCTAAGCCATGTGGATGTGGAGAAGATCCAGTTGAATATGTACCTTCAAGTATACCATTCATATAAGTAGATCCAAGAAAAACACCTATCATATTTGTACCATTATCGGCTACGACCATATCAAGAATGTTATCATTATTGATGTCACTAAGAACGACCCGAGTTGGACAAGAATTATTACCAGTTGAATAAGTTCTTTGATTAGGAAATGTTCCATCACTCGCTCCAATAAATACATCGACATTGTCAGTGAGACAATTAGTCACGACGATATCTAATTGGTTATCATTGTTTAAGTCACCAATAACAATTGATAATGGTTGAGAACCACTACCAGTAGAATATGTATTTCCTTTGACAAATGTTCCATTACCATATCCAAAGAAAATAAGAATATTTTGACTGAAAAACATAGTAATGATTATATCTTGATGATTATCATTATTCACATCTCCGATAGTGATAGCATATGGACCAGTGGCAAATGGAACCGAATAGGTGATTTGATCTGCAAAAGTGCCATTACCATATCCAACAAATACGCCCATATTGCCACTCCAATAATTAATAACAGCTATATCTAATCGACTGTCATTGTTAAAATCACCGAGTGCAATAGATCGAGGGTTAGATTGGTTCCCAGTTGAATGAGTCTGTTGGCTGGAAAAAGTACCATTGCCATATCCCAGAAATATACCTATATTGCAACCATAATAGTTAACAACGGCAATGTCTAGTTGCTCATCATTATTAAAGTCACCAGCAGCAACATCATACGGCATAGAACCATTACCAGTCGAATAGTTTGTTTGACTTGAGAAAGTACCATTACCATAATTAAGAAATATACCAATATTATTTGTTCCAGAATTGGCGACGACAATATCCAGTTGTTTATCATTATTAAAATCACCTATAGTAACTGCATTCGGTTGAGAATAATTGCCAGTTGAATAAGTTATTTGAGTTAAGAAAGTATCATCACCATAATCAAAAAATATACCAATATTGTTTGTTTCAGAGTTGGCAACGACAATATCTAGTTTGTTATCATTATCAAAGTCAGCAACAGCGACCGAAACTGGACCACTTTGAATGCCTGTTGAATAGGTATTTTGATTTAAGAAAGTATAATTTCGATATGTCAGAACAATATCAACATAGTTGTAATTGTAATTGACGACAGCAATATCTAATTGATGATCACGATTGAAATCACCAGCAGCAATAGAATACGGATTAAAATTGTAATCAACACTGAAGAATATCATTTGATCTATAAAAAACCCATTTCCATATCCAAAAAATATACCCACACTTTCACCCTGATAGTTTGCTACAGCAATATCAAGTTGGTTATCATTATCAAAATCACCAATTACTAGTGATAATGGAAATGAATTATTATTAGTTGAATATTTGTATGGTATTGTGAAACTACCATTTCCCAAGCCTAAGAGGACATCAATTGTATTTAAACCAGAACAAGTAACTACAATATCCATATAAGTATCATTATTTAAATCATGAACAGCAACTGAATAGGGTTGTGATTCATATCCAGTACTAATTATGAATTGCTCTTCAAATGAACCATTTCTATACCCAAAAAATATACCAACATTGTCAGTGCCATGATTTGCAACAATAATATCAAGTTTATCATCATTGTTAAGATCAGAAACGACAAGTGAATATGGAATAGAATCATATCCAGTTGACAATATGGTTTGCTTTCCAAAATTTCCAAGACCATCTCCAAAAAGAATACCTATATCATTAGTACCATAATTTGCAACAACTATGTCGAGTTGATTGTCATTGTCCATATCACCAACAGCAATCCATCGTGGACGAGATGAGCCAGTAGAAAAAGTTATTTGTGGCATGAAAGTACCATTACCTTTTGCAAGAAAAATACCAATATTATTGGCACCATAGTTAGCTACAGCTATATCTATTTGTTGATCATGATTGAAATCACCAACACAGACAGCATATGGAAGTGAATTAGAACCAGTTGAATATGTGATTTGATCTTTAAATGTAGTGTTGTCCTGTCGAAGAAATATTCCTAAACTGCTTGTGCCAGAATTAGGAACAACAATATCAGGAAGGTGATCATTATTGAAATCAGCAACAGCAATAGAATGCGGATGTGAATCACTAATAATTAAACTGGGAGCTTCTGATTTCAAAATAAATGTACATGTTGCACCTAAACAGTATAAAAGATATAATATGAAATTAAATTTAATATAATAATCTTTGTTGACTTCAAGTATATTGAAATAATTTTAGTAGTAGAGTTGTAAAACTATTTTATTTCTATAATGAAAGTTCTTTTCTGTGACAAGAATGTAAGTGAATATGATTGAATGAGTATGAGAGATGTATATCATACCTAATGGTTTTGGTGAAGAAAAATAAACTGTGAGAATGCTAATCATCATCGATATACTTGTGAACATAACAAACATGAAGACCATCTTCTTGGAATTCAACTTATGCGAACGATGCTTTGGTCTAATGATGATAAATATTAATATTACATGAAAACAAAATCAATCAAACATACTCATTTGATGAAGTCTCAACGGTATCATCAAGATCATCGGTACTAGTTTCTAAAGGACGTTGATTTTGCATTGAGTTGGAAGTTCTTCTTGAATTGATATCAGAAGTCATTATAATCTATAATAAAAATATAATTCCATGAGGATTTGTCGTTTAGATGAAATCAAATTGACACAATTTATTATATATTTTACTTAATCATCTCTATCTTCTAGTTATTGTAGTCAGTTTTACAATTTATTGTCATAAGTTTTCGTTTACTATCCTTGTATTTGGTGACAGAGAGAAAACTTCATAAACCTACAAATTCTTTATTAATATAAGCATTAGTTATTGTTTAATATTTGCCTTACTATCTCGATATTTATATAAAAACAGGATACAGATATTAGAAAAAATACAGATTTACGATACTAAATAATTATGAAATTATATTCTAATAACAAAATTGAATATAAAAGCTAATCAATACAAGAATATGTATATATATATATAGAAAAACTCAAAAAAGTTTGATATTGATCTAAAGTGAAATATTTATGTTTGTAAAGTAATAAAATATGTTTTTTTCAAATTTCATTAACCCTTTCAGGACGGGATTATTTTTTTGAAAAACAAAATAGATTTTAAAGAATCAAATAATTCTGTTTTTTATTTAAATTTATTAATATGCTGTGTACACGATTGAATCAACTAACAACACGATGCTCACCTGTGTATGCAAGAGAATAAATCAAGAAGACACAGCATAATAGTTTAGTGCATAGAAGAAAACGAAGAAAATAGGTCATAATTACGCAAGTCATATAAGACATATATCACTACTATAAGTAAATTCTAACGTATACACAACTACTTCGCATCGTCAATACATAACATGTTTCTTTTAAAAAAAGACTGGTATATACGATGTACCACCCGTCCTGAAAGAGTTAACTGATTATAAATCTTTTGAAATCTATCAAAGTCAAAGTAACAATACTTATTATATAACTCTAGAAATATACATAATTCTTAGTTTTTACTTTACTTGTCTTGTACTATGGTCCAATGATTGTTTAATTTCTATCATGCCTATTATATCTATTTATTCATTATTATTCATTTTACCTTAGTTTACATGAAAGGGAATAACAAATGATAATTGAAACAAGCGATGCCTATTATGGAATATTATTGTATTTTGATCAAATCAAAAATATATTAGAAAAATAAAGAAAAAAAAACAAATACGAAATATCTTATAATATTATTATAAATTGTATATACATTAAAAGAAAAGTATATATGTAATTACGATCAATCAAAAAAATCTTTTCTATTTCTTCTAAATTAATTCAAATAAAAAAAAATATTTAAACAAGTTGAATACAATCGATATTTTGTTTTTGCAAAAATAAATGAAATATTTGTATAGATTTTTTCTTCTGAATATATTTTGTATTTTATACAATCTGGATAGATATTATTCATCGTTTGTTTTATTTGGCATATTATTATTTCTTTTTCATATTATGATAGATTAGATGATTGCTTGTTTCTTTTATCATATTTTTTCTCTTCTGTTAATCTTCAATAATTGAATGCTGAGTACTTTCTATATTTTTATGTTAGAAATTGTATTAACTCATATAAGGAAAATATATATACCTATCTATTCTAATATAGTGAATATTCTATTATTATTGTTAATACTTATTTTATGTTTTATATCATTTGAAATCCAAGATACATTTTCAATTAAGAACCATTATAGATATATATATAATATTTCTAATAAAAATCATGTATATTTCGTCTTATTTTATTTCAATATGAGTTAAGTAAACAAAATGAACATGTGATTAATAAAACACCAAAAAAAAAATATTTCATTATATATGACAGAAACTGATCTTTTTGTATAATTGGATACTATACAATAGAATATGAAAAATTTGATTAAATAAAATAATATTTATTCACTGAAATATTATAAATAACATCTATCACTCTGCTATTATATTTCTCATGAAAACATAATAAAGTAATTTGTTTTGTAAATGTCTTATTATTAAATTTTCTTAAAATAGTCTTTTTACTTTGTGTTTACTTAAGTACTGAATATATGTATTAGAATTTAAAATTAATAGAAGTTTTTTGTTTTAATTTTGATAATTATGAATATTTTAGGCCTAAAATTAATTGAGTTAAAATTATCAATAATAACGATTGTCTTGAATTCACAATAAATATTTATTATATTTAAAGAAATATTTTATAATATTTTTAATATTATCAAATGAATTCACTTAATTTTATGTAGATATTATTATAAGTGAACATATGAAATAGTCTATATGTATTTATATCAAATAAAAAATATATAAATACTTTTTCTATCGATTTATTATTTTGTTTTTATGTATTTTCTTCAATGAATATTTTTCTTTTCTCTTTACATTTTGTGTTATAAGAATTATTTAAAGTATTTTCTCATATAAACATGTGAATAATTCATTTCAATGGAAATAAATTATTATTAATGATCAAAAGGATATTTAATCTTATAAAAATATTTCTGTGTGTTGACCTTTTAAATTATCAATAAAACTTGATTGAGATAATTCATGGAAAAATTATATTAAATTACATTTTTTCTCTTTTTTTAATTTGATTAAAACATTGAATCTAATTGAATGTTCAAAACTGAATACTAATATTCATACTGAAATATAAATTGAGTTGCGATGTTTATATATAAATTTTGTAATTTATATTAAGATAATCTCATGTATTTACAATTATTTCTCTTTTTTCTGAAAACTAATTCTTTTCAAATACAGTATACATCAGAATTCTCGTCTCATTATTTCATTTGAGTCGATTTTTCTTTCAAAACATGCGTCATGAAAAGTTCCATAAAATTTTTATAAACAAAAATTTCTATTAAAAAATAAAGAAAACAACTTCTAATGTTGTATTGTAACGTTCTATCGAAACGTTTCATGGATATTTTCTGATTATGTACTGAGAAATTGTGTATCTATTTTTGTTCTAGAGAAGTGAAGGAATCTTTGAACATTGTGAAAGATCGACGTGTGTGATGAGTAAATAGGTATTTGGGACCTCCAGGAGGGTGTGAATGTAGGTATTCTATTCCATCTACACCCTTACGATTACTTTTGTTCGAATTCATTTGTATTTCTATAAACAAATGAAATGATTACTTAGTTTTAAACTTTCTAATTTATATTATTTGTACAGTCACATACTTTCACTTTCTATGAATCGTTGACATACGATCAGTCAAGGAGAGTTTCACTATGTGTGCGTTTTTATTTAATACTAAAAATATTCTTTTTGTTTCAAAATAATTTATGTTAAAACAAATAGTGTAGAATAAAAAATTGTTTATAATTTGTTTTTTACGCCTGCATCCCGAGGGTGTGGGTGGATGGGTATAGATAACTAATCAACATCTATCCACATCCGCACCCATACTCATACCTTCAACGAACGAGATAATAAGTAAAATAAAACACAAAATATGGATAATTGTACAACGTAAATTAAATCAAATGATGTTCAGTAAAAAGAAATGCATGATTAACTAATGAGATAGAATGATCAACGATGAATGAATGAAAAAATACCATGACAACAGCAAATTAGGAATGGAGAACTATAATATGAAATCTTTTTCCGCTGAAAAATAGTATCTGTTAATATTTTTAGATTGGGTCACACTCTTATTTTTGTTAATTATAGTAGTTTTAGAGTAATTATTGAGCAATTGTTGCTATTGCAGCTGTTGGACCAGCTATTGGACCTGCTTTTGTACGAGTCATCATCAATGCTTGTGGACCAACAGCAGCACGACGTCTTCGACAGCATGGAAAGCATATTTTGAATTTCGTTCGAAGTTCAGGTAATGAGAGAGCACATACAATAGGAGTGAGTATTATAGCATAGTAATTAAAATAGTTGCTATCAGGATAGTAACTGGCACCTATATTTCGTGATAAACCGAGTAAATAAGCGGTATATAAGAAAATTGACGGACACCATAGAGACATATAGAGAAAGGATATTGATAACAGTTGTACTGCCATTCTTCTGTAATTACGCCATTGAATTCGTTGACGAGCGCGGCATTTGCTAGCCAACACACGTATAATAAGGGCCACACTGAATATTACAATGATAAATGGAGACACGCAGTAATTCACTATGCTATCATACAATCCAACTGACGGGTTAGCAACAACACAGGAATACAAACCACAATCTACTGTTTTGTAATTCATTGTAATAGAACAAGGTACAATGAAGTACATAGTAATATAAAATACGCCAGGACACATCATGCATATAATCAATGGGAAATAATGAAGAAAAAATCGGTTTGTTTTTGTACGAACCAAATTTGGATGAAAGATAAGAATATGACGTTCAATCGACGCCCAAGCCATCAGATTTACTACTCCTACAACCCCGATGGCATGGACGGATGCCCAGGTAAAACAAAAGGCTCGTGTAGATACTAGTACAGTGCCAGTACGACCGGTGTAAATGAGCGCCGTAACATCGATAAATTGCAAGATAAGACCAACAAAGACCATGGCAATAATAACATGATTGTTAAGTGCATTTCGAAGTCCCCGATCTGTGAGTAAGTAATAGAGACTAGAGATACCGAATAGAACAGATGGAATTTGGAAACCTTGAAAGAGCCAAGACCGAACAATATTAGGAATTGTCATTAAAGCTATTATTTGTGTTTAATAGTATCTGAAAAGAGAAGATAGAGAATGAATTAATGACTCAATCAACCAAATTTGTTTTTTATGCACAATATACAAGATATAAAGTTAGAATATTTATTCGTATCATTCTCTCCAACTTTCCAAATCTATGACATTTGATTTTCTAGTTTTTCGAGTAACTAAATAATTGGATTTATAATATAAACGGAGCGCGAAAAAATATCACAGCAGTTATGTTTTAAAAATAATAAAATAAAAGTTTTTTTTGCTCTTTATCATTTACTATATGGAATTTCAGGGAAAACCTATCCGTTGCGCATGACTGAAAGCAAAAGATAAAGTTCATGTGAGTAAGTCAATTAAAATCTTTGTTATCCGTTTGGAAAACAACATCTGAAACAATTTTGCTGTGTTGTGACTATATTGAAGTATTATACTAGGTATATGTACAAGCTAGTTATGTTACTGAAAAGTCACAGTATGATTGTAGTTGCGGGATATAATTGGTTAAATCGACTGATGTTTTACACTATGTTATAATCTTAGAAATTGGTAGGAGTTCATGATAGATTTCATATGAGAAATATTGAGGAAAATTGTTTTTAAGAATCAGAACTAACTTCAACAAACAAGTGTAATCTTTCACGAGTTACGAAAAAAAGTATATTTATTTCTTTAGCGAAAAACAAACGACACACTTACTTTTTCGTTTAAGACTTCATACTAGTGTCGTTTCATTTTATATTTATACTACAAATACATGTCTTCCTACTTAATGTATCTTGAAAGTTTCAATCATAAGCAGTAAAACTTTGTTGAAGTCAGCCATGATACCTAGAAACAATTTTCCTACATGTTTCTCATATAAATATGAACCATGGACACTCGATACGCCACTTCAACTTTAACTGCAAATTTTAAAGTTGTAGAGAATTTTCTGTTCTATGCTTATAATTATAACTGTCTTAACGGTATGTGTAATACTCACAAGACTCTCCACAGTCTATAAAGCGTCGACAAAATAAAAAATAAAGTGCCATATCCAGTTGACACCCATCGCATTTATAGAAAATAATAAATAAAAAAAAAAACTTTTAATATGTTGTTAACCTCCAGCAAAGACGTCATTCATCGCGTTTCTAATTAATGATAAGTTAAAAAGAACATTCAATATGTTGCTAACCTCTAGCAAAGACGTCATTTATTGCGTTTATAATAAATGATAAAAGGTGATCTACATATACATTTATTTTATAAATGATCAAAAACTAATGAAAGTGCATTTATGTTATAAATCGAATTCACTATAGCATGAGTGTAACTTTCTTATCTTAGTTGCAGCGTTTTTTTGGTCAAAAGATAAAAAAATAAAAATATTCGTTTAATGATCACGATACATACACTAAAAAAAGTCTATATTAAGGCAAATATGCTGAAAAATCGATCATTAAAGATAATAGTGAATGTAATACAAATAATATCACATGGCTTCTTTCCAGAATACTATTATCCGTGCCGAGAAAATGATGTAAGGAGAATTTTATACTCATGTGTATAGAAAAACAAGAGCTTAGTAAGTTGTTGCACATTTCAAAAGGTAATTATCTATCATAAGTCTTAATCTCTTATTATGAGAGAAAAATGAGAAGAGACAAAAAAAGAACAGAAGGAAAATGATGATATATTGATAAAATAAACTGTGATCTTTGCGAGTTTCAGACAGGGACTATAAACGCTTAAGTGACTTGAGACACAAAAGAACTGATTTCAGTTCTCTTTGAATAGAAGTACAACAACGAGAAAATCTTGACAAAAAAAACACAATAATTAGATTTGAACATATATGACAGGAGTACTGATCAGTTCGATATATTAGGGAAAAAAGTAACTCTTGTATCTTACCATAAATCTCTAGTTTTATATAACATCATTTTTATGGAGAGAGACACATTATTAATATTTGTCGATATAAATATACTTTATTAGATAGAATGTAAGACCGATCTCAAGGTAACGGATATTCAATATTTTTTTCCTTTATATTGTATTTTCCACATTTATGGTGAAATTTCTCAGGGTATTCATATTATTATATGAACTGCTGTGACTAGATCTATATTTAGATAAGAAAAATTAATTAAAGAATCGATGAAGGGTTTATAATCCGATAATAGCACTTGTTAATAAGAGGAAGACGAAAGAAGTATATTGTATACACAAAAATTATTCGGATAAAATAGATAGACTTATGAAAGTTGACAATTTCAAGTCCTATGTGTTACTGATAAAAGTAGCGCACGGTGTGTTACCTACTATTATTATTGATTAAGTGCAGTTAACAAACATGACAAACATTCAGCAGTGTATTTCATTAGTAAGAGTAATCCTAACGACATAAATCAGATTACTTTAAAGAAGAAAATGACAGAAGTGTTTATTAATAGGAAAAGCTACTGAAAACATAAACCGACTTATCCGGAAACCATGAGATAGATCTGAAAAAAAAAATCAGAAGTCTGTTTCATCAATAAAAGTCGGTCAACGCATTAGTCAAACATATTTAGTGGATAGTAAGATGTATTAAAAGCAAAACTAATTGAAAACTATATTTTTTTAGTAAAACTTACTCAAAGCTTAATTTGAGTTAAGGCAGGAGAAAAAGGTTCAGAAAAAATACACTGTCACAACAAAAGATATTAAAACACCTAATCGGCCTATCTTCACCAGTAAGTAAAAGAGTAAAACAACACAACAACGGATGAGGAAATTATTGACCCTACGGAAAGTTATATATGGTAAGAAGAAATGGATTAAAAATAACTAAATAAACTTCTCACGTCGTCTCATGATACCAACAAAAATGGAAACTAATAATATAAATATAAATAGTTCATTTTTGTTAGAAACAGTCTTCAGTCTGAGAAAGAAAAATCACCGCTATATCTGTTTGAGACATTTCTCGTTAAGATATTTCATAGTTACCACAGATGATCTTTAAGGTGAATAAGTAAACTCATCGATGTCTCTCGAAGTCTTTTGGACTTCTGATTGAGAGTCTTCAAATCGTTGGAGCATATATCCTTCAAAATAATTTATGTGTTCTTCCCATATGTATTCGAACTACTCTCAAGGATCGGTGTGAGTATGAAAATCGTATGATATCCACACCCATACCCACCCTAAAGTATGCAAATCAAAGAATTGTAAATATTAAATTGGTGTAAAGACACTTAAATATAATTATTAATGAACTTAAAGATATTGATACTAATAGTACACATTCGATAATACGAAAAGGTGTCTAATTAAAAAAAATTGCAAGTTTAACAACAAGAAGTTGAATTTCTACCGGAAGTGGCAATATTCCATTATCAGAATATAAACCCGATTGTTGCCAATATAGTGATGCGAATGCAAATGTATATACTATACTCATTGATATAAGAGATAAATTTCTTGTATGAGCATATTGAGGGTGTGGGTATGAGTGCAGATGGATGTCCATTAGTTATCTATACCCTCACGTATACGCACACCTACATCCACCCTGTATAATTATGACCTCCTTATTTCATATATTTTTTCCGACATAAATAAAAGCTGTGCATTATTGATGAGTAAAAAACGAAAATTGTTTGATTATCAATTAATCAAACTGATTGTTATTGTGATTAGTCATGTATATCATATCTATACGTTAGTAAAAATATTATTTCCAAGTATAAACTTCAAAGTATACTACACACTGGCGGATATGACTCACGGATAAGAAAGCGGTCGAAGGATGTGGGTGTGGGTGCCATATTCTTCTTAAATCCATACTCTCACCTACATCCAGACCCACACCCACACCCTGCTTGAGTCATTGATCAGATAAATACTACGTGTGATCATATTAGTTGTTGACATCGTACGTATAGAGCGATGTCATGAGTTTATAATAATAAGATTCTTCACAATGTATATATAGAAAATAGTGGTATACAAATACACAAGCAAATAAATAAAAGATGAACAATAAAACACAGGAACAAATTCAAAACAACATAAATTCTTAAAGGTCACTGTCTTGATTCAGTTGCATAAGTGTCTATCATCCTAAGCGAGTATAGGTACCTGCATTTGTATCGAATATAAGTGTTGTATTATATGCTACTGCATATGCTTGATTTACTGAATAGGTTATGCTTGGTCCTGATGATGATTCTATAATTAGATAAAGAAAACCGTTAGCACAATTCCTGTGGGGTTAAAATGTAAAACATGAAATAGTTGCTGAAAAATCAGTTAATGACAATCAATAATATTTTCCCACGATCTTTAATAAATTCCCCTCATAATAAAAGGCTCTCTAACTGTAGAAAATCTCCTGGAGAACATGATGCGTTGAACCTATTAAATTATTCCTTAAGTTTCTACAGATTTTTTATTAAATGAAGAACTAAACTCTTGATAAATTTAAGATGATCTCTGAATAGTTCCTACATAATCCACAGTGACCGCTAAATAACGCTAGAGATATCTCGAAATCTAAAAATATATTTGAGAAAAGTTTTTCAACTGGAATTCATAGACAAATATATTTCATAATAGAAGATTGGGATATTTTATTATTGGACAGGAATCATTTATAACTCGCGTCCCCGACGATTTCTGATGTTATATTGATCACAATCTGTGAGAAGAAGTGGAGATCCAAAAACTGTCCTACATATTTCAGACCTTATTTTAGATCGTGTTTTAAAATAGTTCATGTCTCAATTAGAACGAAAAAAATAGCCTACTTTGCACACCAATAGTTGTCGAACTACCTCCATTAAATATTTCGAAATAAACATATTTAACAACATTAGGTAAATTTTCATAAAAGATTATTTGAAAATGAAAATAGCTTGATGGTGATGCATAATAACTTATATAATATTCAAAAGTTGTTATGCGATTAGGTGCTGTTCCACTAGTTGCATAATAAACCATTTGACCAGTACCGCTATAAATCTCCAAATCGTCCCAAAAACCAAACGCTGTTGGACCTCCAACACTTGTAGTTGGAAGATATTGATTTGAATAAGCATTACTACAACTGCCAAGACAAAGAAGCTAAAACACATTTTATTTACGACAAAACTATGTTCAAAAAATAACTTACCCCATTACTTGATACAGTAACAGAATTAGTACTATAATTATAGAGTGTAACATTGACTGAAAGGCTAACTTGCTGTATAGCATCATCGGTAGTCACACCAACCCAGGCAGATATAGGAATTGCTCCACTAAGTTGTAAAGTAAGACCTGTTTTACATATACCAGCTGAACAAATTTTATAATTTGATGAACAAACATAACCAATTGATCCACAGTTATAAAGATTACTTAGTATATCGACACATGCTACGGAAGGTGTTGCAACATAACCAAAAGCACAACTTACTGTTCCTAAAATTATAGATATGTTTATTAAACACTTTGAAAAGCGTGTGAGTAATATGTCGACCTCTCATTCATACCGTACACCCACGCCCACATCCTCACTATAAAGAGGCGAGGAGATAATGTGAATGAGATTGAGAGTATAGACGACAAGTTGATATATCACTCACACTCACACCCTCAACGCTATCTATGTCATTATTAAACTATTTTGGTAACTCACTGGTTGTTGTTGACGTTGATGTGGTCGAGGTTTTTGTTGACGCCGTGGACGTCGTTGTTGAAGTTGCGATTGTGGATGTCATTGTTGATAAAGTTAAGGTTGTTGATCTTGAAGTCGAAGTGGTTGATGTCGAGGTTTTTGTTGAAGTAGAAGCTGTTGATGATATTGAAGTTGAAGTTGTTGATGCTGTTGTTGCCAAAGTTATTGTTGTTGATGTTATTGTTGTCGAGGTTAGTGTTGTTGACGAAGTTGATGTTGATATTGGAGTTGAGGTTGTTGATATTGATGTTGAAGTTGAGGTTGTTGTTGTAGACGTTAAAGTCGATGTTGTTGATGTTGAGGTTGTTGTTGTTTTTATTGTAGCCGTTTGTAAAGTACTCGAAGTGATGGTAGAAGAAACTTGAACAAAAGTAAATTAATAAATATATGAGTTTTATCTTTCATGCTATCAAATCACGACTGTGTGATATTATGATTCAAAAAAATGTTTACAACAGTAATTTCTTTTAAAAAGAACTTTTTTTAACATATAAGAGACTAACAAAAAATAGTCAAAAGTGCTCTTAAGAATAAAAAGATGATTATCCGAGGTAGATAGATAAATCAGATATGCATATTCACACTCACTAATGAATAATTTATCTCTTGACACGAATTCTACCAATGTAATTATGAGATTATATGTGTGTAAGGATAGCTGTTTATAACTATGTTCAAGAGGTCAAACCATAGTATGCTTATTATAACAATATTGGATTTATGTCTCACATGTATTCTACAGGATGCCACAGAAATAATCGAACAGAATGAAAATTGTGAATCTCCCTTATTTCTCATTCAAATTGAGCATTCTTTCTTTTGTTTGAAAAGGTAATGTTCAAAGTTTTGTTCTGAGTTCAAACTATTATTGTGTAATACTCTTCAGAGTTTAAAATTTGAATCTTTCGTAAGAATCACCCGTGAATTACAGCAGCAAGAAGTAATTGATATTACAGTAAAGCATACAAATACATTAATCTATCAAAACTTTCTCGATACTGATTCAGTTGAAAACATCAGTCCTCTAGGAACGCCGGTAACAATAACTGAGGGTACGGGTGTGGACCTTATCTGATGCACACAGCTACTCACACCACACCATATCCAAGATAATGTGTCAAGTTTATTAGTATATTTAACAAAAACCGTGACTAACCTCTAGAATTGCTTGTATCTTCTATAATAAAAGTAGTAGACAATTGTGTGTCATCAACTGGTAATGAAAGAAAGTAAACTGAGCTTTCCAAGTTATTCGTTAATGACAGTTGACTTGTTCCAACAGATTCAGAGAATAATTCGCATGTTTGATTATTTCGAAAACAATTAAAGTAAGAAATTTGTGTTGTATTCATTAGCATTCGGCAAAGACATTCATCACAAGTACCATTGATGATTGTTCTTGAATTAAAAGCGAGGATATGTATAGAAACATTGTGAATGACTGGAATTGTTCTAATCTGACTCGAAATTGTTTCGAAATGTCGAAAGAAGAAAATCCAGAAAAAGACAAGCCACATTCTATTATTTGACTAATGAGAGAAATGTTGTAAAGAACTGGTAAATGACTGATCGTTATGTTCTTTTAAAGAACACTTTTTGAAAAAGTGTGTACTGCAACCACCGGGATGTTTATTCAGAATCCAGGGAACAAAATGCGATGATTTCCCTTGTATCAATCAATAGTTTGTTTTCTCTGACTTCTACATTATTTAACATAAGTAATATAATACAAGCATTGGTTTGATTACAATCCTGTCTAGTCGAAGAAACGAAGGTAAACTGGTCAATCGCCGTTCTCTTTATTGATCATTACATTTGATGATGCTGTGAATTTTCTAATAGAAAGAAAATAGTATTATTCCATTGTCGGAAAGAAAGAAAAAAAATATACTTTCATGAACTGAGAGAATTGATTTAGTCACTATTCTAACAAATCTGCGTCGTTTATAAATCGTAGTTTAAAGTGTTAAAATCTTATTTTCTTGTTGAAACATCTGTCTTGAGCATATCCGATTTTTTTATACAACTGGGATTGACAATCTCAATATATTCTTCTAGCAATAATAAAAAAATCAAGTCATTTGATTTTAAGTTATAGTAACAATATGCGATATTTCTTTTTTTCCGATAAAATGACTTATATATCATTATTTATTAATTACATAAAAAACTGAATTGATCGAACTGAAAAACATTGGTTTACTAATAATTATAATGCAATGAATGTAAAAAATATCTGATAATGAATTAGTTTATCGCAACGAGAATAAAAATTTGTGACAAAGACTGTGCATTACTATTATAGTTTTCTATCATTTGAAATAAGTTTAAATTTACAACCTATTTTTATTTATCACATTGACTATACAAAAAAAAGAGTAGTGAAAATAAAATTTTCTTTGTTGAACTTTGCCTGAAAGAAAATAATATCCCACAGACAACGATTGAAATTGACTATCAAGTATCAATCTTATCTTTATATTTTATGTTAAAATTAAAATATATATATTATATATATATACATGTTATATTAAAATATAATGTGCACACATACAAATATAAAGAATAATAAGTAAAAGTATAAATAATGTGAAATATTTCTTGTGTATATATATTTATCGTCGATTCGTTGTCTTTTTATCACTATAATTAGTGCTTGCAGTTCTAGTTCTACCAATAATTTGTTTAGGACGACGACGACGTCGATCCATAATTGTTATGATTTGATCAATACGATCATAAAGATCACGATAATTTTTTCTTAATGGATCACATAAAATCAATTCATAACATAATTTTCTTGCTCGTAACCATGCTTTACGTTGAATAGCATTGAATAATTCAAACATAAGTACATCTGGTGGTATATATGGTAACAATATTTGAGGAATACGTGGAGTTTTTTGTAATGTTGTTGTTGGTGGTGGTGGTGGTTGGTCAATTTTGATTTCGCTTCGAGTTGTGATTGGTATTAACTAAAGTAAAATAAAATATTAATGATTTAATAGTCAATGCAAAGATATTTATTCTACCTGTTTAACAAGTGACATAGTTGGAGTTTTGGAAACATTATTTATTTCTTGCTTAGACATTACTGAAATGAAACATATTTGCATAATCAAACAATTTATATAATTATAAAAATTTGCATGATAGTAAAATCGAGATTAGTCTATTGAAATAAAGTTTCGGAAAATTATTTTTCTATATCGGATAATAAAACATGAAAAGTAGAATTTATCGAGTTTTTGAATAAATGCTTAATCTGATAGTTAAAGATTCGATTTGACTGAAAAATGACCTTTCATTTATTCCATCGTTTTTTTTGTAAAAATAAAATAACTATTGATTTCTTGATCAAATATACTAGAAGTTAAACGAGATATACTTAAATATTACCGTGTTATGTAAATATAAAATATTCAATTAATCGATCCGCCTTCTCTTATTTTTTTTTCGATAACTATGTAGAAGATTTTTATTGAGTTAAAAATAGAAATAATTTAAATTTATTAATATACTGTATCGATAAGAAATTTTAATATCAAGGATATTGAATATTTTATATAATCAAATGGTATTAATTGTTCCTTTAATAATCGATCCGAAATCGTGATTGAGATATGTTTTTTATTGTTAGTTTATAGATAAAGTGCTATTGTTCAAATATTAAAGAAAATAAATAGAAAACTTTTGTTCAGAATTCAAAAATAGGTGAAACTCTTTCTAATTTCGTTGTGGGGCAAATGATGTTGATTTAACTGATAGTAAAGAAGTTTTTCATGTAATGACAGTCGATATAAATAATAATGAGAATGTTATCGCTGATGAATAGGGAGAAGATCAAACTTTTTCTCCAATATAAGAAACTCTTGAAACAATCTGACATAGTCTATATTTGATCTTTATGAGATTATATTTACCGACAATAGCACTTGAATATTTATAGCTATATTTAATGAATTATTATTTTAAGTAGAAGATAAATATAAGATATTGACGTTGAATCTATATTCAATCACTTAATTGTATTATTCAGCAGTAAGTTCAAAACAAAACAACACTTAATTACTAAAAAACCTTAATATTTGATATATCTATCGGAGTTAAATATCCTTTCATAGTCTATAATAATAATAAAAAAATTGAATCCGATATAATAATTTCACATATTTATTTTAAAATAACATTCTGAAAGCTAATGCATATTTATATCCCTATAAAAATATATAAATCATAGAAAATATATTCTATTCAATCTGTTACGACTTTGTTGTTGAATTTTGCTAAATAGAATTTTTATTTACATTTATTTAACCATTTAGAAAAATTTTCATAACTCTTTTGTTTTTTATCATTATGCAATTTAATACATAAATTACAAAATAGATCGTCAATATAATAATTTGATGGCCATGCTATCAATCGATAATTCTTACGCCATTGATGATAAAATGTAAATAGAGTAAGATTTTTACTTATATGATCAAGTTCATTCGCAAGTTGAGTCATATTATCGAAATGATTTATATGAATAAATGAATTTGGTGGTAATAATTTTTCATAATTCTCTTTAGTTGATCCAAGAACTATTGGAATACTTCCATGTGCTAATGCATTATAAAATGTTTTTTCAGTTATATAATCTTGACAATGTGCATTTTCAAAAGCTAAATAAAATTTATATCTAAAAAGTGTTTGTTCGAATTCTTTTGATGACATTCGATGTCTATCTTTTTGAGATTGTGAACATTGACCATATTGTTTAATTGAAAAGTATTTATTTAATTCATCAGCTATTTTATCTCGTTTTGTTCGAGATTTACAATTTGAAACAAACCATAAAATTTCATTTTGTCGATTTTCAAATTCTTTTTCTATATGAAACGTTGATTGATTATCTTTCGAGGATAAATAAAAATCAACTGCTTGATAATCACGAATTGTATATGATAAATTACGTGGAATGTATCGACCATAATCATGTATTATATCGGAATCTTTTCGATAGGTCATTGTCCTAAAATAAAATATGGAAGAAAATCTTAAAAAAAAACGTTAATATCAAACCAGTTGAATGTTAAACCAGAACGAGTATATTCTGAATGATGAACAGGTGCTTCCCATGACCAAAAAATCCATCGTTGATCAAATGATGATCGATTTTTATTAGATAATTTAAAAGGCCATGCAAAATCTTCACCAAAAAATAATACAGCTTGTGGTGAACGTTGTGTAAAATCTTCTATACGACATGAAAATTCACATTTTAATGGACATTTATCAAAATTAATAATATGTCCACCATTTCGAGTACCTTTACAAATATTATCTCGTGTTTTAATTGAACGATTATATGTAAAAAGTAAAATTAATGGTGTTGTTGATCGATTAAAATGTTTATAATAATCTGGTAATGATCGATGAATATAGAAATAAAATATAAAAATAATCGGAATAATTAACGCTCCTTTTCTTAAAGTATATAACACAGGTAATAATCTTGTATAAAATACCATAGAATAATAAAATCTAAAATATAATTATTTATATATGTTGTACATAGAAAAATGGTATGATTTTTTTTTCTTTCTTCACCAATAGTATCGAATATATATTCTTCTTTTTATTAGAGAATAAATAAAAAATGTAAATTTTCTATGACGATATAGTATTGACATTAAGAAACATTGCATGTGCTCTATGCGTGAGTTAATTTTATGTTTGTACAAATACTGTATATGTATTTTGCAATAACATCTGTGCGTTCGTCATTTATATGAATAATATGATTAACTTTTATGGCGCTAACAGAAATCATATTTGATCCCTTTCTCAATAATCTGACAATCAGTAGAAATAGCTGCTGTTTGTTAGCTATTAACATATCTCACAAGTTGAATTATAATAGTATTTAACTGTTGGAACACGCTACTTGTCTTCAAATGGAAGGAAAATGCAGATATTTCAACTGGTTTTTTCGGATATTTTAGAAGAAATTTAAAAAAGATATTACTTGGTACTCTACAAGTGTTAATAAAAACAGTTCATAGAATAGAAGCCCAATCTTATCATCATACTTTTTTTACACGTAATAGAAGCTAAGAGAGGACCCTCTCTTTACGCTGTATCTTATTCGAATGAAGGACAGAAACATACAAGAGAAAAAGAAGCAAAGAATGTGACTAATATAAAACCAGATATGATACGAAAGAATATGTGAAGAAGTATGAAGATATGACAGTAACAGAAAGATATATCTAAAGTTGTGACTTTCAAATAAATTCCAATCTCAACAAACTTCTGTTTTCCAAAAAAATTAAACTGTGTCAACAATACTTTCGACATCTCTCATTTTAAACGTTTGTTGTTTCTATTAATTATTTGTACGTTAGACAAAACGATAATCAAAATAAATTTATGAGTAACTAGTTTTTACTTTACAATCGCTTTATTATTCAAATATTAGGAACGACAGAAAAACAAAACTCTCGTCAATATATTAGTTATAACCATATGATTTTAGGAATTAGAATAACGACGGGACAATTTTGTTTGATTTCGCGTATGACTATTCCTCGCAACATCCAAACATATGTATATATTTCGATGATCCTTAGATTCTCCTCTTTCAAATCATATATAA